GAAGAAGAAGATAGCAAATCTCTGAAAATTGTTTGGATTTGGAATAAAATTTGATATAAAAAATTTGTAAAGAAAATTTTTATCTACAAGAAACGTGTATTAAAATTAGATAGGAACTTGAAAGTTAACATTAATAATCGTTGGGATCATCAGCGATAAAGTCTTTAGTCTGTTGGCCAGACCCCCCTATCGTGCACCTCCTTTCCCCACATCCCTATAGACTGCATATCGTTTTGTTCCTTTGGTCACTTTTTTTTGTGGGAACATTGGTTTTATTTTTAATAAATAGTTGCAAGGGGCATAACAATATGTAATGTATAGGAATGTGGGAGGGGTTACACGGTAGGTGTTCTTGCCCACAGACTAATAGATTGCATATCGTTTTGTTCCTTTGGTCACTTTTTTTTGTGGGAACATTGTTTTGTTTTTTTAATAAATAATTGCAAGGAACACAATGATATGCAATGTATAGGGATTACACGGTACAGGTTCTGGTCCACAGACTAAAGGTTTCATCAAGAAGTGCTTTAAACTGTTCACAACTCAGAAAACCGGTTACTTGAAACCGGTAACTACTAGCCTAGAGAGAGAATCACTTTATTTTCATAAAAGGGTGCTGCCCAATTACATTTGGGCATTTCTGGAAAAAGTCACTAATAGTATGTGATACATGATTAATAGAATAAGTAATTTTTATAGATTTATTTTTCTTGTTGGCATTACAGACCTTGTAGATTTTCTGCCACCTTAAGAAGCCTGCTCCATCACTGGGTATTTCTTTCCAGTTATCTGCATGCAGCTCTATTTTTATATATAAGTAAATTTTATTTTATTTCTGCTTCTGGTTACAATTGATTTATGTCCTTACAACATATTAAAACATTAGAACTACCTGACCTTTTCTGGTGCAGTGTGCATCACACAGCTTTCATTTACCTCCCTTTTTTAGCAGAAATAAGTATTTTTAGGCAAAGAAAAGTGAAATTAAAAATTATACATGGTACGGAATGTTATTTAAAACAATTAATTACCAAGCTGTCTAATGTAATATATTTATGTTTTTTTCACTTACCATTTCCTTTTACGACTGTATATTTTAATTATTTATTTGATTATAATAAATAATTAAGTGCCAAAAAAATATTATTAGTTTAACAAGAGGGCCACCGATAAATAAGGCTGCTATATTTCATTGTAGGTATTTTCATCTGTTTAATCATTGGGATATATAAAAATTTTAATTTTTATATTTCTGTAATCTATACAATTAAATATTAAATAAAACCAACACTAGCATTTATGAAAACCACGTGTTACGTATGGAAGCCTATTAGCTGAGCTCGGGCTTCTTCGGTCTCTATATTACTACTGTTTTTTTTTGTTTTTTTTTAGAAAAAAAAACTTTATTCTGGAACTAAGTCCCTTCAGAATAACAATAATGTACAAAATAATAGAGTATTACTGGCCTGAATGTTGAAACAATAAATAAAATTGATAAAATACAATAAAAAGTAAAGAAAACCTTAGGTGCACAAGCTATATACAATACAGATAAAACTATGTACAGAGCATTTAAAATTATGAACAAAACAATTAAAACTATGAACGAATCACTTGAACTATGAACAAAATTATATTTAAAGGTTCAACAACATAAACATACACTTTAAGAAATGAAGAACGAAAAAGAGATACAATGAGTTCATTTCATAAAAAAAAAAAAAAAAAAAAAAACTTTACTTGAATATATATATATAAAAATAAACAGTTACTTATAATTGAATAAAAAAAAAAAAAAAAAAAAAAAAATGTATGTATTTAAATTACTACGTCGATAGTAGGAAATGCATGTACTATCTCTTACCAAGTGTTATGATTATATGATTGATACACAATACATATATAATATTAATGGTTAGCTGGTATCAGACTGTTTTTGGAACAGGAATTGGAATAGGAGGTTTTTGAATGTATACAGGGAAGGGGCATGTCGAATTTTGATCGGGAGGGAATTCCAAAAGTTGACAGAGCGGGCTATAAAGGAATTTTGGAATGAGGCAGATCTATGAGAAGGGATGTATAGGTCAGAGGGTCGGGATCTTGTAGTGAGTGAATGTATTGAGGACTTAAATTGGAGAAGGTTGTAGGCATAAGAAGGACGATGATCGGTAATGATTTGATAAAGGAAAGTGCCAAGGAAATATTGTCTTCTTAAGGAGGGGAAGAGCCACCCTAACTCAGTGTAGTGGTGGGAGACACGGGAGCGTCTCGGGGTTCTTGTTATGATCCCTTATTTCTCCTTTAGTTAATTGTCAAATTCTTTCATATTTTATATTTAACCATTTTTTATATCAGATTACAATGTGAAATACTAATTGTTTCAAATAAAAAAAATTAAAGGTACTTTAGAGCAAGAAATTTTGAAAATTAGGCATTTAAGCCCTGTTAGAGAACATCAATGAAAATGTGACTTACATTATATTAAAAACTACTTAATTTTCCCCTGATGTAATGAATTTAATTAAAATTATTAGACCTTTTTTTAGAAAATTGTTATAATGTTTAAAATCAATGATATAAAGTGCCACTTCCGTTTAGCTGATTTTCAGGAAAAATTTGCTGTAACACCCCAGCCATATAATACCTTAAATGCATAATATCAGTTTTGTACGACTTTTCATTTTTGAGCTAGACTGTTCACATGGACACACATACACACACACACACACCATTTTGTAAGACATGGTTATTTGGATTAAGGGGACCTAAAAACATGTATTTCCATTGTATTCAATTGAAAACTCAGATTTTTAAATTTTCATTATTGCAATACTATCTCTTTCTATATATTACATATCTAAGTGAAATTAAAAATAATAACTACTTGATTTTTTGCTCACATGAATGTAAAATTTGACTGAGCTAGTAACAATATGGTAACATATGTTATGCATTTACCTGCAAACTACTAATTATGTGTTATTTCTTTTCAGTCAACTGTTATGTTTGTTTTTTTAAAACAATATAAAATAAAAAATAAAACTTATACCTCAAATCCCATGAAGTGCAATAGTGGGTAAGAAACCATTGATTTTTTACCGTCTTACATAGGTGTAAAGGTGGTTACATCACACATTGGTTTTTACCGTAAGGAGATTGGAGGGTTAGATTCCCACTTCATTGCGGGAATCTACTCCAGAAGGATCTACTTATTCGGAAATTAATTAAACATTAAAGAAATTACATTGGAAAAAAATCGAACCAGTGATCAGTGGTCCAGAACTTCAACCAATGGACTACTAGCTCCAGAAGAGATGAATTAATATCAATTTCAGGTGAAAAAAATTATTAATAAGACTTAGTGAACCCGAAGTTTCAACTCTGATACCACTAATTGATGTCTACATTCTTCCATCCACCAATCACCTTCCAAACACAACCCCGTCAGATCAGCCATAACACTATCTTCCCACCTTCGCTTCGGTCTATCCCTTGGACACTTCCTGGAAATATCAGGAATTCTTTTGTTGCTAAGCCCAACAATTTTACAAGCCCATTTTATTTCTATCAATGTAATTATCTCAATTATATTAACAAGTTATAATTTGCACAATTAAGCATTATGTAACCACCTTAATTCTCAGGTCGAATTATCCTTCTTCATTCCAAATATTCTATGCAATACTTTATTTTCAAAACCTTGCTCATAGACTTTGCTCATCTCTTAATGTAAGCGGTCACGTATTGCATCCATTAAAAAACATAAAAAGAGTAATGGTTTTGTAAATTATAATTTTTTAGTTTCAGGACAACAGCCACGAGCTAAGTAATTTTGCAGCTGAAAAATAGCAAGCATTTTCCACCTTTAACCTTGCCTTAACCTTCCTCTTTAATTTTGTTCTTTCTTTTTATCCTCCACCCTAAATATCTAAATTTCTCTATGTTTTCAAACCTATTTTCTTCAATATCTATAACACCAACATTGTCGTCATTTTTGCTGCTAACCGTATATTTTGTCTTGTCCATACTTATTTCAAGCCCCAGTTTTTTACTGGCTTTCATTAATGTTCTCATATTTAGTTTCATTGTTTCCGTTTCTTCGCTTAACAGTAATAAATCATCAGCATACCCAAGCACCGATATTGTTCCACCCAGATTCAAACCTTTTTTGGTATGTATCACCCTCTCTAATGGCATGTTCTAATGCCAAATTAAATAGACCAGATGAAGGAAAATAGGAAAGGGAATCAATTTGTTTTACGCCCAAACAAACCTTTAAGATTTTAATTTTCTGATAGCTATTTCAACTTCCTCTTTACTCGGTTCTTCTATTAACGGTTCGGCACTTCGGATCTCAGAAGGACACATATCATTCTTTCCAGTATTTAAAATATTTTCAAAGTGTTTTTTAAACTTACTTAATATGTTTATAGTGGAGACCACCGGATTGATCAGCAGATTACTGTTTTCATTCCTAATGCCAAAATTATAAATGTAAATTAGTGAAGAGTTAGGAATAAAACTTTATTCATGGATTGAAATTTAGATTATTTCTTTATTATGGATCACAGATTTATGTTTATCTCTTAACCTTTTTCATTTTTCTGTTCTTTGAATATTTTTGTTGTTGTACTTAACCAAAAGTTACTAATCTCTATCTCCTTCGTTAATATTTCATTTTCCAGTAAAGTTTAAATTTGACACTATCTATAGATTCATTTTTATTTATTTATTTATTTTTATTAATTACTATTAATTTTTCTTTTCATAACTTTCCTGGTGAATGTACTGACCTTCTTCATTAGTTCTCCTTTAACATAAATTAGCTCAATTCAAATTAATTTATTTGTATCTCTCAACACTTTATTGTTCAATATTAATATTATTTATTACTTACAATACTTATGCTACTAATTTGTTCGTATATCATGTATAGGATATTGTTATCACAATTTCTTCTTATAAATACTTGTATATATGTTTCGTTTTTGTTTTTTTAGCTCTCTAAACCTGCAGACTTAGCAAGTAATGCAGTGCAGCTGTTAGAAGTTCTATTAAATTGTATTATAATTGATCATGTTGATTATGCTGTAGAATTAGCTTTACAAGCAGTACCGATTCCTGAAAGTAAAACACAGTCTCAGCCAATTTATTTCTTTGATGTTGTAAGACAGGCAAATACTATTGTGCATCTGATTGAAAAACACTTCAACGATTCTGCTCTTCCTTTAGTAATGTATGTAGAAATATAGACTGGAGTAGAAAATATTCTATATTTTTGTTCATAAATAGAATGAATGGTGTTCTGATGGATTAAATTGTTGTAATAATGCAATATTACTTTTTCCTTACATTCTAAAAACATTTTAAGCTTAATATTTTGAAAATAAAATATACACTGACAGGCAAAAAATTCCATCCACTTGATTTTTTCATGTTTTCATCTAAAAATATTTCTGCTTTGGGTTGGTCTATTGTTTTTAAAGAATAAATGGTAATCTTTTTGTTTGTTTTCAATTAGGAATGTTGATATAGAGGACAATAACCCTTAATCCTTAATTCAATGAAATGATTCTAGATTCCAAGATTCCAAAACGAACCATTATTATTCTAAAAGAAATTAATTACATCATCGATTAGTAGCGCGTGTTTCCTCCTCTTGCCTTCACTACTTCTTGAAGACACCTCGGCATACTTTCCACCAATCGGGAAATGTCCCTTTGCTGGAGGATAGCCCATTCCTCCTGAAGAGCCCTTTCAAGGTCCTGCAGTGTATCAGGAAGTGTTGCACGCGCTCTTATTCGTCTTCCGAGGTTATCCCATAAATGCTCAATGGGGTTCAAATCTGGAGAATGTGCTGGCCAGGCTAAAACCTCAATATTGTTCTGTTGAAGGAACGTCTGCACTATGCGGGCGACATGTGGGTGTGCATTAGAATAGAACGATCGCCGATTTCGTTGAGGATAGGCAACACATGAGGTTCCAAAATCTCATCTACATAGCGAATGGCCGTCAAAGACCCTCCACGAAAAACAACCAATTCTTTGCAATTCTCCATTGAAATCCCAGCCCACACCATTTAGGAACCACGTTGGAAAGGTTGGCTCTGTGAAAAATTACAGGCTGCATATCTTTCGTTTTTTCTTCTCCACACCCTTTCACGCCCGTCTGGAGATCAAAGAGCGAATCTTGACTCATCTGTAAAAAGTACAGCACTCCATTCGTCCATAGTCCAATGGCTGTGTTCTCGAGCAAAGCCAGCCATGTTACTCTGTGAGTCCTGGTCAACTCTGGTCCTCTTACTGGACGAAAAGCCATTAATCCATACTTATTTAATCTTCTACGAGCGATACGTTCAGAAATTTGCACACCTCAAACTTCTTCGAGCTGATGAATCGCTTGAGCAACGGTTTCGTAAAATTCTCTATGTCAAAAACCGGTCATCCTGTGGTTCTGTTACCCTAGGCCGTCCAGAACCGCACCTTCTATTGTAAGAACCAGTTTCCCGAAAACGCCTGACGGCGTCTCGTAAAGTTTCATATGGAACTCCAATGGCATTAGCTGCATATCTAATGGAACGTCCATCATCAATAAGTGCCACACCACGCACAACAACCTCAGCACTAAGAGGCATTTTTAAACTTAATATTGAAAAAATTAAAAGCCAGAGACTAAGAAATGTGCTGCAAGAAACGGCACTGAACTAATGATACTGAATAAACATTTTGATTCCAGAGAAAGTAAACATTGGAATCTAGAATCATTTCATTGAATAAGGGATTAAGGGTTATTTTCCTCTATATTAACGTTCCTAATTGAAAACAAACAAAAAGATTACCTATTTATTCATTAAAAACAATAGACCAATCCAAAGCAGAAATATTTTTAGATGAAAACATGAAAAAATCAAGTGGATGGAATTTTTTGCCTGTCAGTGTATTTGATAACCCTGTTTGTAAATTTAATTTTTGAAATAACTTGTGAACTTTCTTCAAATGTTATACTGGATTTTATAAATGAATTTATTTGATTTTCTTTTATAACATCCTTTTTTAATTTAAAAATGAACCTTCCTAAGGCTTCTTTCCAAGATTACAATTTTCACAAGGATCTCATTTGTGATCATATTCCTAGACTTTTCCAGTTTATTGAGGTATGGTATCCACGCTTAGTAAATGCCCATAACAAAATATCAAAAGTGTGTTGTTTTCATCACCATTGTAAAATGTGAACTAAAGGACTTAGGGTAGATATTTTGTGTTCTAAATTTTTGTTGAAAAACTAATCATTTAAAATTGATTTAAATAGTATTGTGAAAACATGAGTTCCCAAGACTATTACAAACAAGTATTTAGATTGAAAAAGTAAGTAGATTGAAAGAACAACATAACTTATGGGATATCCTAAAAAGTAAATAAAAATGTTGTAGGTCGACTTCTAAACATGGAGAATGTGTTATGAAAAAAAAGTTCCTGCTAAATCATTTAGAACAGAAATTGGACAGCGGTATTGATAGGTTAGTCAATCAATTCTTTGAATCTCTCTATTATATAAAAAAGTTTTTAGTGGCTGCCATATTTTATTTGATTTTATTGTTAGGAGAGTAGGAGGATTACAGGAGCTCAACTTTTCAGTCCAGTCTGCTCTCCTATGGAGATTATTTTATAAATTATACAACTGTTCATTTAATTACATATGTGTTGAGCTCCTGTAACCTCCTATTCTCCTAATACAAAACAAATAAATTTTAGACCAAAAACTTGTAGTGGAAATGGTATTCATCTAGAGTCAGTAGTTTGATTTTACATAGGTGACAGCAGTTACTTTTCAATCTAGACATTTTCCCCTTGAATACAATATATTAATTATTATATTATAATAGTGGATTGATGGTTGACGGTAGTGAATAATTGAAGAGAAGTTTGTTGGTGTGTTCAGTAAAAAATAAAAATAAATAATTGATATTTATTTTTATATTTGCCAAAGTTTCGGCCCAGGGGCCCAAATGGGGAAGTAAAGAAATATGGGACACAAGTGGCCACATAGCCTGCTCTTCTCAACTCCTACTCTCACCTTCTCGCAGTGAGCCCTGTTAAACCTAGCAACTCGAGTCCAAGGTAGTGGTAACCAATTCCTGCGGAGGACCTGGGTAGGTGACCAACGAGAGAGGGGTTCTTGACAGGGCGGTCTGGGAGTAACCTGGGTCCCGGCCTGTCAGGATGGGGGGGATGTTGGCAGCAGGGCATCTCCTTTCAAACAAAGGAAGTGCCTCCAGGGAAACCTGCACTATGGGACTGAGGGCATACTGCGAGGGTGGATGTGACTCTACAGTCGTAGTGAAGACAGCCGTCTACGGGAAGAGGACCCAGACAGAAAATCTTACTGGTCCTCCAGGTTGGGCATCGGGCTAACTACCCGGTCCCGGAAAAAACTAAATTGCTACGAATAATCAACAGAAACATAGCCGGACTGATCTATTGGTACGACCCAAGCGTGGACTAGGAAAATCCTTAACTTTAGCGACAGGGAATGTGAGGAGTCTCTTCCAGGTTGGAGCGAGTCTTAATTTGGAGGCGTAGTTGCTTCGGTATGACATGGATGTGGCAGCTATTCAGGAGACACGTTGGAAGGATACTCCAATGGTCTAACTAAGTGATTATCTGCTTATCAACAGTGGACACAGGCGTAACCAAATAGGGACGGGGTTCATGTTAAGAAATACAATAAAAGATGCCCTCCTGAAATTTGAAGCTGTGAGCGAGAAAATATGCATGATAAGATTAAAAGGGAGATTCTTTAACATCTCAATCATTAGCGCGAATGCCCCAATAGGAGATGCTGATGAAGAGACAAAGACGCTTTTTACGAAGCCTTAGAGAGAACCTACAACTTGATGCCTGGTCATGATGTGAAGATAATAATGGGCGATCTTAACGCAAAAATAGGCAAGGAAAATTTCTTTAGTCCCACCATAGGACCCCACAGTAAGCATGAGGAAACCAGTGACAATGGGTTCAGAATAGTGGACTTCGCTATGGAAAGGAACATGTCAGTCAGCAGTACTTACTTCCCTCTTAGGAACATACACAAGGAGACTTGGGTATCTCCAGGTGGGCAAACACGCAACCAGATTGATCATGTGCTGATCCAGGCAAGACACGCGACGGACATAGCGGATGTGAGAAGTTTTCGTGGGGCTGTCTGTGGTTCAGACCATCATTTGGTGAGGGTGAAATACCGGCAAAATATTGCGTTAGGAACCAGGGGAAGAGCTGAGAAACCTGCGCCACGATTTGCCGTTAAGCTCCTTAAAGAAGAAAACGTAAGGCAGAGGTTTGTAACTAATGTTACTGAGAAGCTCACCAATCACCAGGAAGTGCTTAATATCGACTCAAGGTGGACAAAGATGAAAGAAGCCCTTGCAACTGCAGCGGCAGAAGAGCTTGGTGAAATTAAAAAACCAGCAAGAAATGACTGGTATAATGAAAAATGCAAGACCCAGGTAGATACAAGATATAAGGAATGAAGCAAGGAGGAGAATGCTTCAACGACTTACCAGATCTGCTGCCCAGGAATTCAAAGAAAAGAGAAAAGAAGCCAAAAAGAGATGCCGTCAGAAGAAAAGGTTATCTGACAAGAGAAAATTAGAGGCAATACAAGAGAGCTTCAATGCACAGGACTCCAGAAGTTTCTTCAGAGGTGTAAGAGAAGTTAAGGATGGTTATAAGCCTCGTCTTAATTTTGCTAAAGACAAGGAGGGAAACAGGTTTGTGGTTGGCAAGGAAGCAGTTATTGGCAGATGGGCAGAGCATTTCCGGGAGCTGCTTAACCAAGGCAGAACAGAAAACGCAGAAAGGCCTAATGAAATAGAAGCAGAACTTGACTCCGAGGAACTGGCCGACGACGACGTTCTCTCCCAACAAAGAGGAAATAATGAAAATTGTGCAAGGTCTGAAGAATTATAAGGTGCCAGTCATAGACGGAATCCAGGACGAACTTTTCAAATATGGTGGAGATGAAGTTTGGGATGAGCTCCATAAACCTATTTATGATATATGGATGGAAGAAGAGGTCCCAGATGAGTGAAAAGTGTCGGTCCTATGCCCAATCTATAAGAAGGGAGACAAGCTAGAGTGCAGGAACTATCGAGGCATAGCTTGGCATAGCTTATAAAATACTATCCTCTGCCATTGATAGGAAACTGATATCATACATGGAGAGGGAATTAGGTGAATATCAGTGTTTCTTCAGGAAAGGTAGATCGACTCTTGATCCGATCTTTATCGCCCGACGTGTGGTAGAGAAGTCACTGAAATACAATGTCGACCTACATCGATTTTAAGAAGGCATATGACTCAGTGGATAGCTAGGTTTTGATAAGGGATCTTCTCTCTCTGAGTGTATCTAAGAAGCTCACTCGTTTAGTAAAAATGACAATGGCAGATACAGATGCAGAGTGAAACTACAAGGATTGCTGTCTAGAGGAGTTCTCTGTGGTTTCGGGAATAATGCAAGGAGACACCAAGGCTACTCCCCTTTTTAACATGACCTTGGAGAAGGTGGCAAGGCCATAAGACCAACCCTGGAGGTACCATCTTTGACTGCTTCACACAACACATGACACACACAGTTGACTTGGAGATTGTGGCAAGGACGCTCCCACCGCTGGCAGGTGCATTAGACTGCTGCAGCAGCTGGAGGTCTACAAATAAATGAGAAAAAGATGATGTACATGAAGATTTCAAAACATCACTCTCTCCAAGATCGGACACTAAGACCAACACGAGTTTCCAGTATACAGAGAGTTCAAGTACCTGGATTCCTTATGACGGCAGACAATGATGTAGGAGCTGAGGTAGGAGCCAGGATTGCTGCGGGAAGCCAATGTTTTCATGTCATACAGCAACTAATTGGGTTTCGTGTCTATCAAGGAATGCCAGATTGACAATCTATAAAGCATTGATTCGTCCAGTAGTCACATACGGAAGCAAGGCATGGGTTATCTCAGCAAAACATGAGAGGGCTATTGGAGTGTGGGAGCGTAAGATTCTTAGGAGGATTTACGGGTTCGTATGCGAAGAAGGTGTTTAGAGGTCACGATACAATCGGGAGTTGTGACAACTCTACAGGGACGCAGATCTTGTAAGTGTCATTAAGGCAGGACGAATAAGATAAGATGGTTTTTACAGATTTTACTGTATCTTAACTTTTCTATTTAAATCTATTATTTTCTTATATAACTTCATATTCCTTTTCTCTGTTTTACAAATTATTACTGTTATTATTTTTTTTTCCTCATAAGTTAATAGTTGCTCATTGTTATCTGATCTTTTCTTAACACTGATCAAGGCCTGAACTTTGGGCCGAAATGTCGGCAAATATAAAAATAAATATTATCTATTTATTTTTTATTTTTTTATAGAACACCCCAACCTACTTCTCTTCAATTACTTATATTATATATGATATAATTATGATTAATATGAAATAGAAAAGGAAGCACAATATAACATACAATGAAAATATTAGAAATAAAAGGGTCAGATGGGCTTATATGAAGCTAGGCAATGTTGTAGCGAGTGTTTGATCTTCATTAAATGCAATTGAGTAACTTGAAACTGATTTATAGACAAAGCACCTTACATATATATATGCATGTTGAAACATACAGACTTCCATTTCAACATTGATCAATACCCCACTTATCCCTGTTGACCAAATCCGATACCTAGGACTCCACCTTGACAAACGACTCACTTGGAACCCCCATACCAGACTAAAACGACTAGAAACCGCCCGACGTTTCTGACTACTCCAGCACTTACTAGACAAACGCTCTAAACTGCCAACTATTTACAAAAGACTCATATATATATTACTATAATAAGGCCTATTTGGACTTACGGGATCGAGCTTTGGGGCTCTACTAAACCATCAAATTCCTCTCGTATCCAATCCCTACAATCCAAAATCCTTCGTAAAATCCTTAATGCTCCCTACTTTGTCACAAATAAAATCATCCATAATGACCTTAATGTACCATATGTTTCCGATTTAGCTCAATCCAGATACCTGTCCTTTCATAATAAACTTCTGAACCATCCGAACCCTCTCGTTTCCAACCTTGCTTCCTCTTCTATTCCTGACAACCCTCCGAGGCGTCTAAAAAGAAGATGGCCTCGGGACCTTCTAATATAGAAATATAATTGGAGTGCTACCAATGGGTAGTTTCTCCTCATGTTGTACATGTCATATTACTTGTGCATATTTACTTGTTGTATTTATTATTAATTACAGTTGTAAATTTCGTTAATAAAAAAAAAAAAAAAACATTGATCAATTACTTCTTTCTGAGTGTATACATTAATTTATATTATAAAGCAAGATATATGTCATAGAAATACTGGCTTCTATTTCAACATTGATTAATTATTTGACTTAGAGTATATACATTAATTTATATCATTAAGCAAGATAGATCTCATAGCAATACAGGCTTCCATTTCAACATTGATTAATTATTTAATTTTGAGTGTATACATTAATTTTTAACATTAAGTGAGATAGATGTCATAAAAATACAGGCTTCCATTTCAACATTGATTAATTACTTGTTTTTGAGTGTATACGTTAATTTATATCATTAAGGGAGATCGATTTTTTAGATGTCATAGCAGACATGTTGAATGTATATTATGGTTCCAAATTGTCATTAAGAATAATTATAACTATATAATAATATAAAGTGATAATAAGGTATAATATAAATTTTTAAAGAAGTTAAAAATTTGTCGGAACTTAGGTTTCATTCAGTTTATTTTATGTTGATAAAAAATAATACAATCTGAAGTACAGAATACATATAAATTACAGTTACACAGTTTAAGCAACAAGTAGTACGATTGAAAATGAACAGTTGTATAATTAGTAAAATTGGGTTGGTCTGCCGTTAGGCATATAGGGGGTACCTCCCTAGTCATCATATATTTATAACCAATATAAATTAAATTATTATTCATTCACCATTTTTTATTTTAAGGGCACTGAATGCTATAGTGGGGTGGGTAAAAGTATTTCTTCAATCTGAGCAGAAAAAGACTGATTTCAAACCTGAAACTGAGTTGAATACATTATCATCCCCTGTAAGTTGAAAAACTAATCCTTAGTCACTGTTAAAATTTAGCATTTATTAATACTAATTTTTAGTAATAATAAACTAATATTCTGTTAAAATTTCTATGGACATTTATTATATTAACAATCTTTTTTTTTAAGGCTTGTATAGCTGTAGTGGAGTACTTCAATGATAACGTCAAACATATTAGAGCCTGTCTAGATGGCAGAAATATTGAATGTGTAATGACAGAATTGGGCTGTCGTTTTCATAGAGTAATTTATGATCATTTGCAGCAATTTCAATACAATTCGACCGGTAATTAATTAATTGTTGAGGATAATCATATCTGCTATATTTCAATTTGTAACTGTAAAAATTATTTTTAGGCGCACTTTGTGTTATATGTGACATGAACGAATATAGGAAATGTGTGAAGGAACTTAATTCTTGTTTGGTTAATACATTATTTGATACTCTACATGCTCTTTGCAACGTGCTGCTAGTGAAACCTGAAAATTTAGATCAAGTGTGCACAGGTGATCAGTTGGTAAGTTGAGAATATTTTAATTTCCTTGTTCATTTTTAAAAATAATTGATTCCTTCTCTTAGTAAAATAATTGAAACAATTTCATTATTTAGGATATGCCTATAAGTTAAATTACAGTGTTTCAGTGTGTATATTTTTAAGATACATTCACACTTGACAAATCTATGCCAACAGTCAACAGTTTCATTGGCCAAGATTCAATTATTGTGTGCTGGATACAAACAGAGTTTTTATTTTGCTTTTCTTATTATTTATCAGAGAGAAATTAGTTCAACCTTGCTAATAACATAAATATATTTTTTTGTTAATCAAACCTTTTTGATACACGGATAAATCAATAAATTGATAAACTAATAATATCTTTATATTTGTTATATTTTTTCTACTTCCATTTATGTTACTTAATATGTTCTGTATTTTACAATTAATGTAAAATGTTTTTGTAGTCTCTCTTAGATCGTTCTGTCGTACTAAATTTCATCCAGTTAAGGAATGATTACAAGACTCAGAAGTTATCAAATTTTCTTAAAGGGATGTCTGCTTGATACTGGAAGGTATTCAGAGAATCTGAACTTATCTTCAAAAACTGTGATTCATATGTGGGTATTTTGTATTATGGTTGACTTAATTTTAATGCATTTTTAACATATACCTAATTTAATTTCAAATGTACTGATAATTTGTACTTATTGATTGATATATTGTATGTAAGGAAACCTATACTCATTTTTCCTAATTTCAGCCAGGTGAAAATATAATCAAAAACAAATTATTGCAGTTAGTTTTGAATTTTACTATACCAGCCAAATTTTCAGCCAGACTATGCGGGTCATCTTATACAGAGACAAAAAATAGAAAATAAAAATGATAGCATACGTAGAATGCAGGATATACAAAAAATATTTTATTTCATAGAGCTATTAAAATAGAGGAAAAATATACTTTTGCTTTAAAAAGTAGAACATAGTAAATTTAAGGAACTTTTTTTTTAATTTGTTGCCTTCAGTCATTTTTTAATTTGTCTTTATTTATTTTTTCAAAATTTTGCATTATTTTCTACAGTGTCCTTAATTTCACTCAATAAGGTGCCCCGTAGATAGAGGAACATATTTAAAGGGGGAATAGCAGATCTCAAAGAGCTACAACAAAGTTTATATAACCAATAGTTTAATTTTTTGCAGAAAAGTAGGAAATTTAAGTTTTGTGTTTTTCAATTAAAACTAAATTCACACAAAATGTGAATCTCAGTTATTGTATAGATAATATATATATATTTTTTTCTTCTCAAGCTGTGTATGTCATTTTCTCTTCTAGGCCCCATGATGTGTCTCAACACTATTCTCTCAAGCCTGTCAATCTTTTCAGCTAGAGTTTTACGTATGATCCAGGTTATAGCCTTCAGGAACATCCTCCAATCAGCCACATCATCAGCATAACCAAGCACTCATTTTACTAAACACTTTACCTGACTGTTTAAACTCAGCTCTCTTCATCATAACTTGGAGGGAAACATTTAATAAAAGTGGTGAGAGTGGATCACCCTAACAACTGCAAAAGGTTGTCTATCTTCTCATGCCTCATCTTCTCATTTACTTTCACTCTTCTAACATTCACTTGCATTCAAGTGCATGCTGCAAATTTTATTACTGCTAGGTAGAGTTCTTTTCTGTTAATAGAATCATACACAGTTTTAAAATCTATGAAAAGGAACCATATAATTTCATTGATTTCCTTTTTTTTTTTATTTGTCTTAATGAAAAAAATCTGGTCAATAGTTGATCTATTCCTTTTGAACCGCTCCCTCTCTCCACAGCTATCATCCAGCTGAGGTTCTACTTGTTCTACTAATCAATTATATTAAATAATCAAAAATATTTTATAAACAGTGTTCAGTAGGATGATACTCCAGTAATTCTTGCAATCTGTGGAAGCATCTTCCTTTCTGAATAAGTATATGTTGACCAATTCCTTCAAGCTATAAATATAGAAAAATAAAGAATATAGGTTCTTGTATGCCTGCTGACTTTGAACAGTCATAATCCATGGATCTAGACATTTTTTCCTGTCCTTGAACTTGAGTTAGTGGGAAGGACACAGCCCAATTGGCCCCAAAGGGATTGGTTCTGGAACCTGCCACTGCAACATGAAAACCATGGTCCGTAGCAATGTGAGGTTGAGTGGCCTCCTCCATTACTGTTCTCCCACAAGCATAAAATGTCTGTGAAGACCATGTTGTGCAGCCAAAAATATACATTACTAAGAACTGAAGTTCTTGTCCGGCCTACAAACCATTGCCCTGATGGTGATCCACATGTTTAGATTGAAATGTCCGCTAACTCAATAAACATAATTTTTTGACGGGGCATCCTGACCATTTTTCATGCTTGCAATTTTAACACCCTAATTTAGTTTATAAAGCAACTCAAACAAAATACCCATTAATAGTCGTATCCGTCAGATGAAAATTTTCTCTTAATAAATAAATAACGAAAAAGAAAATTGCACACCCAGTATTCTCATGGATACAATGATTTTGTAAGCAGGTGAATCAATCCTGAAATAGGTTATAAATAATTATGAGTCTGTGTATGTCTGTATATCACAACCAAAGCAAAGATCTTTAATTTTAGTAATATTGATGTACAAGTTGTATATTTAAATTTCTTTAAAATGCTCACTGTTGTCAATTTATTTTTCTAAACTAAGAATAAAACATTTATTTTTATGTTGTAATAAATTACAAGCAATGCTATATGGCATGAGCTACAACATATAAATATAGGTGAGATGATAGCTGTTAGTCAGGATGTATAACGAACAAATTATGATAAAGATAAAAGAATTGTGTTTGGTTGTACCTTAAGAATGAGGATTTTGAGGTAATTCAATGAAACCAAGTTTGTATTGACATCAAACCTTCGGGCTCACTAAGCATTTTATCCATTTATTATATTATAAATGATTGTATTTTTTTTTTAGTCCCAACAGATTTGGTTTTAGCATTTTATATTTATCTTAGCTACTCATTGTTTATTGTATTATTATAATTAAGGAAAGTAATTACCAGTTATTTAATTTGTTCTGCTGTCAGTACTTGTTTTTTTAATATATATTCTCATATCTTATTACAACAAAAACGTTTTGTCAATAGAAATAAATGCATACATCATCAGTTTATTGCAAAAAGTCATTAAAGCACATTTTAAATTAATTTTATCTGAATAGTACCTAGGTTGTAATATCCAATCATATTTATTAATCCAAAAATTCATTTTAAAAAAGTGCATCAAAACAGAAAATCATGTGTGAAACTATTTTTGACAAATTAAATGTCAAAAAGAGTACAAAATATAAGATATTTTACACAGGAAAAGGCCAAGTTACTCAGTGCTTTAATTTAATAAAATAATACTTAATGTTATTTTGGAATAAACTGACAAAGGATTATTTTTATTACATACTTTTAAACACTTTTTGCTGCATATATTAAGGATTTTTTTGTTAGTACATATTTTATATTTTTTAATTAAAACTTGATTAAAAATCCAGCCTGTGATAATATGTGAACAAGTTTATGCATAGATTTTGAAATAATAAGTTTTTAATTTAATGAGTTTTGACTCAATAAATAAAATATATGTTAATTTTAATCTGTTATTATTGCACAATGTGTATTACTTTTAATTGTAAATATTTGTAACATATCTAATGTTAATAACCTTGGTACTTCTGAAATCAAATGAGAGAAGATTGTGAAAGAGTTAAGTATTTAAATTATATATTTATATTTATTATTTACGCTACATAATTTTTACATAAAAATATAATTAAGTATTTACACGCAAATGTATATATAATTACATAAATAAAACATTTTAATATATAAATAAATCTCTGATATTAAATTTAACTTCCCCATGACTTAGAACTGGTTAATGAAATAATTTACATTATTTAAATAATAGTTAATTATTTCATTAACCTGTTCATGACCTCCTAGCTGATGTTTCTCACAAATGATGTCATTTGTATCTTGAATTTATATAAGAGATAACAGGTATATATATATATATATATATATATATACATATATATAAAATAAAAGTTAAAATTATTTACAGTTTGAATGATCTGACACTGCTTAAGTGGTAAAAAGGAAACATATTATGATAATGATGATTGAATGATCTTTCTATAAGTCTATAACTGCCAGATTACCATTTTTACTCTTAAAAACTTGCCAATATATATGGCAGTGGCATTGTTTTACGGCATATATTTTGTTTTCCTGGCTTTTAATTATTCATACTCACAAGTCAATAAATTTAGCAAATACAATCAAACCTCAATATATCAAACATGGGGGTTCCTTGAAAAGAAATTCTTGGATCTAGAAAGATAAATATTTTTCATTTTCTCTTCCAAAAACAATTACAGTTATTTTTTAGGGTTAAAGAAGTATCAAATATAATTGTTAGGGGGATTACATGCATTATATTTCAGCAATGATTTATTAATTTTACCAAACTTAAGAATTTAAATTGTTTTCAATCTTTTGCAAAAATTACAATCGTGCTTTAATAACCTAATATATCTTTATTTTTATCTCAATTTTTAAATATTTTACTAAATCAAACTTTTTTTTCACACATAATGATTTTGGTTTAGGAGTCATATTCACAACAAGAAAAATGAAGTTAAACTGAATTTAAAATGAAAATCTTACATGTTCAGTAAGAGATTCAAAGAATCCAACTTCTATACCCACAGTTACAGTACCCACAGCAATGGCTTCTTTTTAAACAAGGCCTTCTCTGTAATTTCTGATGCTAGGTGAAACAGTAAAACATTTTTAAATGACAATAACATATTAAATATGACTTATTGCTCAATATAAATAAATTTTATTTGATATACGTAAATATTTTTTCTAATAAAAATTCAAGGTTCATAAAAATATTTAATAAAGGTTTTTGAAGTATGGGAGTTTGATATATGAAGGTTAAACTGTATTATAAGTCAATCCAATAATATTTTGAAAAATATAGTTATTACCATATTAATAAATTTCGTGGAACTTTTAAACTTATAGTAAAGAATTTAATACTTAAATTGTTACACTTAACCTTATAAGCATTTGTAGATATTTGCTTCTTACAATTCAACCAAATTTAATTAGAAGTTACTGGAAGGAAGCACTGAATATATTCTGTACCTCATCATTACAGTAGTCATTGGACCCTGTGGTAAATAAATTTAGAATTGTTCCACCGTTTTATGAAAATTTATGGTAATTTGATTAAAAACATTTCATAATATGTTTTAACAACCTGTTGCACTAAAGTAGTAATAATACAATACAAAAATCTTCAAAAAATATTTTGTTACCAGTAAAATTGTAAGCATTTTTATTATCTAGATAAATACTCCAGAAAACAAACCGATTTGTAAATAACCCTTGCAATAACTTTAAATTGTTCATTACTATTGAGACGTATATTAGCCTCTTATTGAATTGTGGGGGGAAAAAAGGTGTTTTCCTAAATTATATTTTATGTTTAAATCAAACTTAAAATGGAAATGGTTGGAGTTGGGGGTCAAGAAAAAATAATATATATTATGATATATCTTAATTGTGTGCCAAAGATTCAACTTAAGTTGTAGGCTTTCATCATGATGAGTTGTCTGGAATAATGAAGCAATTTAGAACTCCTGCCATTTATTTATTGTGTGTATCCTTCTTCAACACAACCAAAGCATCAAGATTTAACGTAGACCAATAATATTCATATCATTAACAAGTTAAAAAAAATAAAATGTCAAGTAACAATAAAAATAATATTTATGCATAATTTTAATATAGTATAATATCTTTGGGTAATATGTAGTAACTGTTTTCAGTCAATCATAATTTATGTAAAATTAATTTTCCCTTAACAGTAATTCACTTAAGTTAAAATGATTCTTAATATCCATTGAAAATTAGATCATATTATTGTTCCTTTCTATAGCTCTTATTTCTTGCTTTATTGGTTATAATTCGTAACAAGGGATAGGACTTTTATGTTTTCACATATTTTTTTCTGAGGACTATAGATGGTATTTTATGCTTTCTTAACATCTGCAACTATTTCAACCATTTTAGACCATTTTTATTTTACATATTTGGTTGTATTTAAATATTTTCATAAAATTACATAATTTTGTTTATATTTTACTCTAAGAGAATTTTCAATTTTTTAACTTCCTAAAAGAAGTTATTGTGATAACCTCCTAACACGCGTTTCTGGAAATAGGACTTCCGGACATCATGTTCACTTTCATGGAAAATTAGGGGAGAGTTTTGAACTGCTTAAGGATTCTTAGAATCCTCCGATTCCTTAGTAATGTTTGTTGCCTATTCTTGTTCATATTTGTCTCAAACCTCAGTTGTTAATGCGAATCCAACCAGTAACAATCATGCCGAAAGTCAAAAAGACAAAAAAAAGTTTAGCCGCGAAGTATGCAACGGAGTTTCCCGATGAACCTTTTAAACACAATGGAGGAACTTGCTTGTGTTGTGAAAAAAATGTTTCAACTGATCAAAGATCTCTCGTTCAACACCTCAAAATGGCCAAACACGTGGAGAATAAAAAGATAAGTATGCTTAAAAAGCAAAGTTTTTTGACTGATTCACCAAGTAGGAGTAAGAACACGTTTAATTTAGACCTAAGCCGAGCCCTTTTAAGAGCTGATATTCCTCTTCATAAAATTAACAATCCGGCTTTTAAAGAGTGTCTTGAGAAGCATATTGGCCATGAAATGGCGGATGAAACTACTCTACGCAAAAATTATGTCAGAGAAATATACAATGAAACAATGGAAAAAATAAAATCATCAATTGGAAATGGATCCATTTTGGTTGCGATTGACATGACGACGGACATTCAGGGAAGATATTTAGTCAATATGATCGTAGGAAAACTTGCCGAACATCCGACAAACGGATTTTTACTTAATTGTGAATTTCTAGATAAGTGCATCCACGCTACCATCTCGCGATTCTTTAATGATTCGATCGGTCTTCTCTGGAATGATAGTTCTAAAAGTGACAAAGTTTTGTTATTTTTATCAGATGCGGCACCATACATGGTAAAGGCAGGAATCACATTAAATGTTTTCTACCACAAAATGATTCATTCTACTTGTTTAGCGCATGCGTTACATCGAATCGCTGAAACAATAAGGACAAATTTTCCAAACGTTGGCGCATTAATTTCTACTGTGAAAAAAATATTTTTGAAAGCTCCAGCGAGATAAATGCATATTTATGTACATATTTTGACTTCTTTAATACATAAAAATCCTATCCCTATTCATAAATTTTGTTATTCCTTTCATAGAAAAAACGTACATATAACATTTAATAACAACTACATAATTAATTGCTAACACTTAGAAAATACTTTTCCCATGCTTGCGGAAAATAATCCATTGGATATTCTCTTAATTTTTTTAAATTCTGTTGAATAATAACAAAGTGCTGTACATCAGGAGCCTTATATTTTTCAAAATATTCCTAAAAATAGAAATAAATTTACATTTTGTAAATTAAAACAATTCTTTATTAATGAAATAATACATAACGGTATAAGGTAATACATGTTATAGTGGCTCAATGCTATAATAATCTATGCAAAAATTTGACACTTTCAGTAAGCACATATTAAACTAAGAAGGGTTAGTTTTGAGTATGTTCTTATATTATTCAGAAGCTAGTAGTATTAATTGGAAGTTTCAGGATCACTATTAACTGATATTAGAGACAAGAAGTGTAATACAAATAAGTTTCATTGTTAGATTTTTAATGTTCTTGCATACAGATTTATAATTTTTTAAACTAATTATATAAATATCTCAGTTTGTTCAAAAATAACTGACCAACTTCATTCCCCCCCTCCATATCCCATTATTGTGTAGTAAGAAAGGGCAGATCATTAGTTCATTCAAGAAAACAGTACTGGTAGTGATGAAGATAAAGATTTATCTGGAATGATCCACTAGTAGATAGCATGAGATAAAGGCCAATGATATACTTTAGAAGAAATCTATTAGCCTATTAGCAACCAGAAATTAATCAAAAAGCTAAGCTTTATCAGTTCTATAATATAGATTAGAAAACTAGACATGGATGTATGAACCACAGAATCTTGGGCTTCTTCAAATATACCCAACCATAATCCACTACAGGTTGTACATCAAGGAGAGAGTATGTACATACGGGCTGGCAAATGAGTCCTTTTGGTTTTTCTGTTTATTTTTATGTCACTATGATACACTTCTGATCTAATGAATTAATTCCTAAGGTGGATTTTTTATCCTATTTGTAATATGTCAACAACTGTATCTGTTAACTCTTGATGAAACTAGCTTAGTATTGTGTTTGCTATTATACTGTGAATATGGGAGAAAATTTCATTTATTATCGGCATATTTTGTTGTATTATTTTTAAAAAAGTAAGCGTGTTGCAGAAGCTCATAGTAAAATTTGCAGTGTTTATGGGGATGCCTATTTCATTCAGGAAATGATGCTCAACGGTCTGGTCGCCAACATGAAATTGAAACACACAATGTTAAGGTTATTGTTGATCAAAATCCCACCCAATCAGTGCGAGAAATTGCTATGGTCCTAAATGTGTCGTACACAAGCGTAGCAAACCATTTGCAATAGCTCGGCTATGTTTCCAGGCTTAATGTTTGGGTCCCTCACTCTCTAACCAAAGTCAACTTGGCAACACGCATTTCTGTTTGTGATTCACTGCGGAAATGACAAAAAACAACCCATTTTTGAAAATGTTGGTAACAGGAGATGAAAAATGGATATTTTACGATAATGTAGTCCATAGAAAATCTTGAGGACCTAGTAGTGAGGCTCCTAGAAGAATGTCAAAACCCAGATCACATTCAAAGAAGATCACATTCCGAATGGTGGGATTTCAAGGGTGTTATTTTCTATGAGCTACTGCCATCAGGAAAACAATTGATTAAATTCTATACTGCTCACAATTAACAAAATTGGATCAATCAATTAAAAATAAACACCCAGAACTGGCAAATCGGAAGGGTGTTGTGTTTCACCAAGACAACGCTAGACCCTACACCTCATCAGTCACTCGTAATAAATTATTGAACCTTGGATGGGACCTTTTGCCCCACCCTCCCTATTCATCAGATCTAGCTCCAAGTGACTACCACTTATTCCAGTCTCTGCAGAACTCCATGAATGGAAAGAAATTCCAAAAGGAAGAGGACATCAAAAACCATTTGGATCAGTTTTTTAACAATAAACTGCAGATATTCTATGAACATGGCATTATGCAATTAGTAGAAAGATTGGAAAGTCATATTAAATAATGGTCATTATATCGCAGATTAAAATAAAATTTATGTCTACAATACATTGAATTTTATTTCACCATGAAAAACCAAAAGGACTTATTGCCAACCCAATACATTCAGATAGAATTTTGAATGCGCACTTTCAAATCTTTAACTTTATTGTTTCATTTCCTTAATAGATGAACTTAAAATATTCATAATCAGGATATATGATGGTACAGCAGCATACTGTGAGGAAAACTGAACGGAAGTTTAAAAGACTTGGTGGAGAGGAAATGAGCTCGTCATGAAACGGGCTTTTTGTTTTTTTAAAATTATATTACAGTTCAGACAACAAAAGCTGATTCATAAGAATTAAGAATAGACATTAATAAAATTATAAATACATTTTTGATAAATCAATTAGATAAATAAACTGCTTTCTGTTTATAATTTATAAATTCACTCCCATTGATAGTGCCTGAGCCCTTGAGATATAATTTGATTATAAAGTATTATAAAAAAATAATTCTATTCCGGTGAAACAATATGATTCTGTATGAAACATTAAACTTTTGTATATTTATTAGTTGACCTTCTTTGTAATGAGGGAAGAGATGGTTCGAGTGGCAGAAAAACAACAACTCAAGTTGAATGAAACATTAATTTCATTAAACAATTGAGGATTAGGATTAAGTTTTGAAGTTTTTAAGTTATTTCATTGACCGCTACCCATTTTTTCATCTATCTTTTAAAAATTTAGGAATTTTTAAAAAACAAAACCAAACTAAATAATAGAATAACATCACTCATTACAAATATAAAATATCCAATTTAGTAAAATTTGTCATATCAAATAATTTTATACCTTAATTGGATTATTTTTAGATGATTTTCTAGACGACTTGATATGATCCATAACACGTGACATTGGCTTTGCAGTAACTAAATAATAACAAATGAGTTCAACAATTTTGCGTAAATTTTCTTTATTGTCAGGAAGTAATCCTAATAAATTACTGAACTCCTCCATTCCCATTGCTAGGAGCCTGCAATATTTACAAAATAACTATCAATACATCATTAAAAATATAATAACAAAAAAATAAGTCTTGCAATATTCCTTGATGGTCCTACAGTATAAAGAAGCCTAATCCTTATGTTATTATTGGGAGACGATATAATAAGCAACTTACTCTAATTGCCTGATTTTAGTACTGAGTGGCCATAGGAACGTTTATTGACTTGATAAAAGCCACAAATTCAGAGTGCTAAACAATATTTGAACCAACTCAGCAGGTAGGGTTATTTGCATAAATTGACTACTTTTCAGTGAGGAAAAATGTAAATAAGAAACAAATAAATACTACCACCAAAATCAGTAATAATAAACTTTCAAGTAAATGTGAAAATACAGTTTTGATTAAAATAATTAAAAATTTATATTTTTGATATAAATGATGATCTATTCTATATTTTACTAGTAGAAGTACTGATGATAATGTTTTCTCCAAACCATCTATGCTTTTACATAACGCTAACTGGCCATTGTTTTTTAAACTGCTTACTTGTTTTTCATTTTTCCATAGCTGAGCTATCGCAACGTTTCAAAAATTACCCTTTGTCCACTAACACTGGCATTTAATTATTTCTTAAATTATATCAAATAACATGAGAAGGAGTTAGTCGGGGGTGCGGTCAGATAAATACTAAATTAAAATATAATAATTATTTTATTTTAATTTTGCCGACGTTTCAACACACTTTGCAGGTCGTCTTCAGGGCTACAAAAGATACAAAACATGTTGAGAATAAAAATTAAATATAAGTAGATATAAAATAAGAAGAAGTTGTCAGATACAGAAATAAAAGATGATATCAGAGATATAGTGGGTGACAATGTAGTAAAATATTAAGTATTATATATGTAGAAGATACAAATAAATGGAAAATAAGTATGAATAAAAATAAAAATAAAGGAGAATATAGCATGTAAGTTAAAAGTAAACAGATTGCGATAAAAGATAAGGAATAAGTGTATAACAAACTAATAGAGATTACATGAGATAACTGTGGGTTTAACAGATAAATAAAATGAATGTTAACTAATAAATAGATTGAAAATTGAATACGTAATGTTACAGTAAAGTTAAAATAAGAATAAGATAACATAATAATAAGATATCAGTGGATAACAAGCAAGTGGAGATTACCTTTAATAACGGGTGTAAACAGATAACGAGACTAAAGGTTAAGAAGTGAAGAAATTGAAAGATTAATAGGGTAACATTAATGTAATATCGTTAGGATAGATTATTAAGTATAAATAACTCTAAAAGAAAACAATAATTTTAAAAGAGAACTTTAAAATGTAAGAATAAATGTAAAAAAAGGTTATGATGATAAAGAAACAAAAGCAAGTTGTACTATATATAGATGACAATTGACATTTTATTTATCTGACCGCACCCCCGACTAACTCCTTCTCATATTATATCAACGGTCAACCATCTCTACATCATTATATCAAATAACTATTATTTACCTCTTTAATTGTACAGTTCAACTAGAATGATCCCTTCTATTGACTATCTGAGATCTCCAAGGGAAATGACTTAAATGTAAAACTTAGAGAGAACAGTATAAGGGACACGGGCAAACGCAATGGAACATCTTGAGCTGATCCCACCACAAACACCAAAATAGTACAATTTTATGCTAAAATTGTCAGTAATGATTGAACCTGTAGGGTTCATCATGATTGGAGCAATCCTTGTCAGCCTTGTGACTTTCATTCACAACTGACCTTGTTAGGTCTGCTTATGATCGGAGTTCCTCATATAAAAAGTGAGGATGAAGAAGAAAACTTTGACCTCCCATCATCTACCGAGGATACTAAATCCTGTATTTCGGATGAAGATGAGTTGTTGCTACCAACAGCCTAGGAATCGGGGTCCAAAGGTGAATCCAAAAGAAGCTGGTCTACGAAATTTGTATTTTAATACTTCTAATAGTGAATTTATTTGATGTATATGGTATAAACAAATGAAATTTTTGTCTGTTTGTAGTACAATTACTTTCCATTTTCTCATTTAATTTCACATTAACCTATAATGTTTAGATAGGGTTAATAATAACATTTCTATCAGAAGAGATACTTGTCACTAACTTCTTTTCTCTAAATTTTCTCAAAATGTATGTTAGTACGTAAAAGATAGATACAATTTTTCTGATGTTACCTTTTTCATAAATAAATATGTTTTTCATTAAAAGCAATACTTTTTCGTTATAGCATGCACGAAAATATATCAATAAGTGGTTTAATGAGATGAATTGGGACAAAGTGTCCTAAAACATAATCAACTACAGCAAACACATGGTTACTGCACTTGTAATTTTATATATATATATATATATATATATATATATATATATATATATATATATATATATATATATATATATATATATTATTTACGTATTTGATTAACATATACTATACACCCTTCATGTGTAATATTAATGAAGGTGGACATTCATGATCAAAAATAAACAAATTAAATTTTTACATATGCATTGACTAAATTTATCAAAATATTAAAAATTGATGTAACTTTGGGTTCATAAATGATACATACAAGAAAAAACTATGTTCTACAATTTTTTTTCAGACAATTTTCTAGTAGAACGAAAAGTAGTGGTGTTAAGAAGATAAGTTTGACAAAAAACTTGAGAAAAAAATACATTTTTCAAAAATAACCAATTTAAGTTAGTGAATACCTCAAAAACTAAAAAAGATAGAAATATAAACTTTCTCAAAGGAAATTTTGTTAGCTTTAATTTTGTATACGACAACGTTTCGTCTACAATGCCTCGTTTTTAAGATATATGAGAAAATCTGTAAAAAGTGACCTTTGCGCACCCCACCATGAAGGGGGAGGGGTAGGGGCCGGGACTTTTAGTATGTTTACCTCCTAAGTACCCCCAACAAATTCCCAAAGTCAATTGCTTGTCCATTCTCCATGTGCTCTACAACTCCTTCCTTGACTGGACTACGAATGATTGTTCTGTTGGCAATGACACTTAATAGACTAGGAGCTACCACCGTTTTCATTTAACAGAAGAATTTACAGATAGAAACCATTTTGAATTATAGATAATACTCACATGAATACACAACTCCGGTCAGTCCCTTGAAAGCTGTTGCTATATATAAGAAAATTTAAATTAAAGAGGTGAAATTTGAAGGTTCATTTAACGGAAGAACATACGTCTGAAATTTTGATATGATGTCAAGAATATATCCCTAAAAGAGAATTCACCTTAACCGATGATGTACCTGTTGCATTTTGAAAACTGACACATCAAAGTCATCAATTTAGGCCAATCGGAAGGTAGTTGGAAAAGGAAAAAATTCAAATAGTCGGTTTCTCTTTGGTATTTTATGTTTTTTGGGATACTGAATCTGAATTTGATGTTCCATAACAAAATCTTCTATTGCGTTCCGAGATATATGCAAAACATAGCGAAATTTCCAAAATATTTTTGTTTTTTTGGATGTGAGTCCAAAAAGATGCATTTTATTGTTATATACAAAGTTAAAGAATACAAAATTTACTATCAATTTTATATATAACTTTTTGATGTAGGTCCAACAGGTGAAGAGTTGGCGAACATTGACTATATGCTTATTTCAGACGAAATATCTGTTTTCATCGGTTTTTCACCAAAAACTCAAAATCTATGCATCTCTCGAAGAAATTCACTATAATCAATTTAAAAGAGTATTAAATTTCCTATGTACCTCATGTAAACACGTTAATATGTGAGAGGATTAAGGGTTCGACATGGAATCAAAGGCGTATTTCAATCGTAAATCTGTTAAATGAACCGTCAAATTTTGCCTCTTTAATTTAAATTTTCTTATATAAACCAATGGCTTTCAAGCGACTGACCGGAGTTCTGTACTCAGGTGAGGATTATCTATAATTTAAAATGGTTTCTAGCTGTAAGTCCTTCCATTAAATGAAAACAGTGGTAGCTCCTAGTCTATAAGACAGAAAACAAATATGGCGCCCTCCTTCTCAAAAAAATACAGTATTATTATAAATATTTACTAATGTTATTGATTATAAAATTTACTAGAATGAAGAAAAAATTAAGTTGCAAAGTAATTGTTTTTCTTTAAAACTTTGAATTATTTTAAATTAGAAAACAAAAGATAATTCATTTCTCCTCCAAAACTTAGCTCACAGGTTAAAACTAAAAAAATAAAATAAAATAAACTCTAATAATAAGTTAACAGACTTGTTGCTTCCTCACTACCAAAGGTATGGAAGCTTTGAATTGGTGCTAGAGGTTAACAAAAATTCTGTTTATCAAGGGACAAATTTGGTTCCGTGTCTGTCTGTATTCAAATCCATGTAATAAGCACATCACCATTTAACTAATTTTCAGGAAATTTTTAGAGATTGTGTGGGGTAGATGACTTAATGGTCCCATGTCAATTTCCATCCAATACTTTAGGTTACGTACACGAAAAACTTATTTTCTAAAATACGCCTATATTTCAGAAATGGCCCGTTCAATTTGGATAAAAGTTGGATATGGTTAAAAAAATCATGTATAAATTTTATTGAATTCCATCCACTACTTTCTCTTACATATGAGCAAAGATATTTTTCTTGATAGGTCTTTATCTCAAGAACATATTTCATTTGAAGAAAAATAAGAGTTTAATAAACAATTGATCAAGTAGGTATTAATTTCTATCCATTAATTTTAAAAATACTTCCGCAAACGTACTGTTTTTGACACGCCTATAGTTTGAAAATGACTTGTTCGATTTGACCCAAAGTTGGAGGAAATTTGTAGAATAGTGTACAAATTGCCTAGTATCAATTTCATTTAACAATTAAAATTATTATAAAAAATTGTTAGGATTATAATAGCTGTGAAATGTGGTAGGCAGTGAACATAGGGAAAGGGAAGTTTAATTTATTTTATATTGTCATGAGGTTATAAGATTTTAGACCATTCAAAAGTTTAAATTAAACAGTGTTTTATTGTCAATTCCTATCCAATTCATCTTCGGAATCCCAAGGGACACCTCTGTCTTCCATTTTTATGAAGAGCTGAAGTGGTTTTATCTTTCCTACTATCGTAAGTACTTCCTAGCTTCCTTTCTCTTCCAAGTGATCCAATCCCACTACCTTTCATACATCTCCCCTTAGATCTTTCATTATATGATCCTCCTCCCTATGGAATTCTATCCCTCCCTGCATCCCTCACTCCAATACCCTCCCCACCTTTAAATCTCGCCTATTCAATCACCTCCTATCGGTTCAGTCCCCATAAAATTGTAAAGAGATGTAAATATGTATATCAATTATAAGGTAGTTTTAAATATTTTTATTTCATGTTTTTTTTTTTTTTTATTGATGAAGTTGAAGACAACTTATACTTTTTTTTTATTTATTATGTCTATTCGATTTAATTTTTTGTGATAATTCTCTGAGGCTCTAAAGCCCACATTTTTGTCTCTGTATATTATTCTAAAGGGACTTATCCCAGCATAAATAAAGTATTATTATTATTTCACAATTACAATAATATTACATTAATTCACAAAAATCTATATGTATTTAATACTAATATGAATTCTCATAAGAAGATATAATAAGTACTTACTGATCCTCATAAACTGAAAATCCTTTCGAAAGAGAACATGAACCAGTAAAACCACCGTTAGGAAGATACAAAGGATGCATAAAGGCACAACTTGATAAACAGAGTTCAATAAGTTTTGGATGTAATGCAGGAAGATAAACAGTTTTCTTTTTTCTGTATTCAACACTAAAATCAAATAATTATATTTTAAAAATAAAAATGACTAATTTAATGTTCTAACAGAAAACATATTAATAATTACTATATACTAAGAGGGTTATATAATAATGACATAATTTGTTGTTATTAATAATTTTAACAGCAAATTTATTTATTGTATATTTGTTACAGTTGTAAATCTAAAAAATTAAACTAAAAAAAAAATACTATTTTTTATTTCTAATGATTTTAACAATTCTTATAGTAAGAAATACTCTAAGGATTTAGCATAATTGATCAAGGATTTTTTAAAGAAAACAGTTCTATGAGAAGGAATTTACAATTCGATAAGTTGGGGCATTGTATTTAAAAGGTAGATGGAAGAATATAGAGAGGTTTTGAGGTTCTTAAGGATTGAATAAGAACATAGTAAGAAGGTATTATCATTAGAAATTTTCTTCCAGTCATTTCTGATAGTATTGCTCCATCATATTTTGTCATGTACCTCTCTGATTCATCAGTTTATAAGCTAGTTTCTTCGCATCTGTGATCACTTTGTACTCAAACCAAAACCAAATCAAATTCGAGGGTCTTATTTCTTTCTCTGGCTATCTAAGCATGATACTTGCAGCTTCTTCTAATGCTTTGGAGCAGGAATAACATTAAGAGTCATCATCTAAATCTCCAATTATTGACAATATTTTTTTCTCTAGTACTGTTATATACCCATACTGAATGTCATGATCTTTCAGTTTCGTGATGTCATATTTTCTTTATTTAGAACTGCATAGATCAGACCAACTACATCTTATTCTAGATTATATGGGTGATGCAGAGGTAGTGGTCAGTGTCTACATTTGCACCTTAGAAGACTATTACATTTAAAAGGTTTGATTTGTGTCTTTGGTTTACCACAATATGGTCAATTTGATTGGAACTAGCTGCATCCATGTTATTTTACGGATTGCTTTGCAAAAAAAGAGAGTATATTCAACAGTAGAGTTCCGAGAAACAGAAAATTGATCAGCCAGTGTCCATTTTGATTTCTTTACATAAGTAGAATAGAAGAATCAACTTTATCTTGGGACAAAGTCTCAGAATAACATCTGGCCAAAATGCATATTACAATAAAAAAAAAAAAAAAAAAAAAGAAGTAATAAAAGAAGTATTTAGAAATAGAAATAGAAATAGAAAAATCATCTTTATTCTGGGACTAGGTCCCTTTAGAATAACAGTATTGTTCATATATATTAACTACAAATCTGGTCAAAAGACTTATTACAATGAATAATGACAAAATACATGTAATACATTAAGTATTAATTATAGTATTTACATAACTATACAGAAATATTAAAGACATAATATGAGCAATGAGGTCCTAATACTGCAAAATAGTTGCTATAAACAATAAACTATGGAATTCTAAATGAAATTTGAAATGAGCGACAAATTACTTTTGTTGTCATACCATTGTATTAATGAAAAAAATAATAATAAAAGAGTGGATAAATATTTACTTTAAATGATTTACGTATGTACATATATATTGTAAACATAATACAGGTCCTATATAATCTAAATCCTAAGATGTTGATTGATCAGAGAAAAAATAAAAGATAATAATACATATAGAGGAGATTATATACATATATAATATACATGATAAATGGCTAGCCAGCTTCTGATTGAATTGTAAGGAGGAATTGGAATAAGAGGGTTTTAAATATGGATAAGGATGGTGCATGTCGGATTTTAAGTGGTATAGAATTCCAAAAGGTGGTGGAGCGGACAATAAAAGAGTGTTGAATTGAGGCCGATTTGTGGAAAGGAATATAACAGTCGGAAGGACGAGATCTTGTGGAGAGGGAGTGGATAGATGACTTGAATTGAAGGAGATTGAATGCATAGGAGGGACAATGATTATAGATTATTTGGTAAAGGAATGTACCTTGGAAATACTGTCTTCTGAAGGAGGGAAAGAGCCACCCTAACTCGGCGTAGTAGTGGGAAACATGAGAACGTCTCGGGGTTCAATTGACAAATCATACTAAGCCATTCATTATTCTTTTCAGTCTGTCTCCAAGTTCCGATGAGAGGCCAGCTTGTATGCTATGATTCCCAATCAGTGGTTGGCACTGAGGGGGAACTAGTCTGGCAAGTGGGCCTTGTGGTCCTTTTTGCCAACTGCCAACCCCTGAAAACTATCTTGAGGTTGCTACCTCAGTACCAACCTCAGTGGGCATGTCAAGATTAATTTGTTGTAGAAAATATCATTATGGTTCTCATCTGTGACTTCCACATTCACACATGAACATCCAAATTCTTGGATAGATATCCTTGAATCTAATATCTAAAGATTTTCTTATAATTGCCTCTAACTATGAAGTCTGTCTCAAATTTATGTAATCTAAAACTGCAACTGTACTATGCAGTATCGCACTTCTTAATAAAAAATCACTCCTGAATAAAAAAAGTGCACAGGACACAAAGACTTAATAGCACTAGTTTACAAGTCATGCATCAGACAAGTAATGGGGTATAGAAGTGAAATCATATTGAGTGTGTTAAAAATTTTACTCAATGCATTGAAATAGGAGTAAAACAAATCAGTGTGACTGTCAGTTTAAAAAAATAAAGCAACTCCATTTGAAGTACTGGGATACTTTTATAAGTTAATACCATGCTTAATATTAAAGTTATAATACAACATAAAAATATTGTCATTTATTTTGTATGGTACATTTGCCTTGGGTGCTAAGATATGACACTCCAGCAGTTAAAAGTATACATTGTATTTGTCCCAGTGGTATTAACTGAAAAACAAAGACATTGCAGCAAAAGAGTGATAATTTTATTTTTTAGATTGCCTCCATGCAAATGATAATAGGAGGGATAGAGGGAAGGTGTTGAATAGATTTTAGTAGATATTGGTATAATTAGAAAATAAGGTTGGTGAGAGTGTAGATCCTTGAGGAATATTTTGAGAATTTATGATTCGTAGAATTTAATATCTAACAATTTAAGACCTTATTAATTTATAGAAGAGAATTAGACTGGCTCTACTCTACAAATGCATTATTCTAAATCTACATTACCTAATGGTAAAAAAAGAAAAACAATATATATAGAAAAGGTAATAATCATGGTTAAGGTACTCTTTCTAAATTAAAAATGTAACGCATTCAGCTTTCCAATAGAACATCAAAGGTCATAGTTTGATTTAATTAAATAAACATAAACAACTACATTGATAATGAAAGAAAAGTAAAAAGGTTATGATCAATAGATTAAGACAATTCAAACAACTTTAACCTATCAAGGAAACATTACAATATCAATCCTCCTACCACCTAGCAAATATCCTCCAAAACACCACATATAATAGATTTAATTAACCATTTAGATATTGAAGTTTAAAACCTTGAAAAAAAATCTTGAACTGTAGGCTAATATTTTGTTTTGAAAGCTTGCAATGCTGAATTGACACACTTTTAATGTTTTGGGGATGCTAAGTGGCTTATCAACCACTAGACTGGCACATTCAACTCATACTTAGTATATTAGTATGAGTATTACCCCAGGGATACAAAAAATTCCTTCAGAGTGCACACTAAAAAGTTAATTAATACTAAAAATGTACCATATTTTATTTATTATTAATCTAGTAAAATAGATTTTAAATAAAATGTATAAATACATCCAATAAAATATTCAGAGAAATTGGTGGTGGCAGCATTGAAAACTCGGATAAATATATAATTTATTATTTAATTAATCTGATATATAAGTTTAATTTATTATTTTAATTTTCATATTAAAACAATATTTACAGACTAATTAGCATTTTAAAAAGATACTTACACTTTTTGAAATTGAACTTCCATGAACCTAAAAAAAAAAAATATATATATATATAATAAATGTTACTGTTTTAAGTACAATATTCCTACTGAACTAATTAAGGCATGCGGGGAAGCTGGAGTTTCTAAAATACATCGGTTGATTAAAAAGATCTGGGTGAATGAGAAATTACCTGAAGAATGGAAAGAATCTATTCTTATTCCGATTCACAAAAAGGGTCCGAGAACGGATTGTAATAACTATCGAGGAATTTCACTCCTTCCGGTATGTTATAAAATATTTACTTTAATCTTAACCAGACGAATCACGGAATACGCCGAGGAAATTATCGGAGACTACCAATGCGGATTTAGACGGAATCGTTCGACTATTGATCAAATATTTTCTTTATGGCAAATATTAGAGAAAAAATTGGAGTACAACGGTATTGTTCACCAGCTGTATATAGATTTTAAAAAGGCTTACGATTCTATTGACCGCCAGAAACTGTATAATATTCTAATCGAGCAGGGGATTCCTAAAAAATTAGTAAATCTAGTCAGGATGTGCTTGACGGAGACACTCAATAAAGTTAGAATCGGTAATAATCTGTCCGAAAAATTTGAGGTTCGTTCGGGTTTAAAACAGGGGGATTCCCTTTCGCCTGTCCTGTTCAATTTGGCATTAGAACATGCCATTAGGGAGGTAATGCGTACTGAGAAAGGGTTGGATCTGGGTGGGACAACATCCGTGCTGGGCTATGCGGATGATCTGGTACTGTTAAGCGAAGACCTTGAAACTATAAAACTAAATACGACAACGTTAATGAAAGCCGGTAAAGAACTAGGACTCGAAATAAACGTGGATAAAACAAAATATATGGTTAGCTGCAAAAATGGCAATACTACTGGTGATATCGATATAGATGGTAATATGTTTGAACAGGTAGATAAGTTTAGGTATCTAGGTTCTACGATAACTAGAAAAAGCGAAATTGAAGAAGAAATTAAGGTTAGACTGAAGGCGGGAAATGCTTGTTATTTTTCTGTGACAAAACTACTTAGTTCGCGCCTCTTGTCCCGAAACTTAAAAATTAGAATCTATAAAACAATTATCTTGCCTACAGTTCTTTATGGGTGCGAAACTTGGCCGCTTACATTAAGGGATGAGTAGCGTCTTAAGGTTTTTGAAAATAAAGTATTGCGTAGAATATTCGGACCGAAGAAGGATGAGTTAACCGGAGAGTTCAGACGGTTACACAACGCCGAATTGCGTGAACTGTATCCGAGTAATATAATTGAGATAATTTCATCGCGGCGAATCAAATGGGCTTGTAAAGTTGTTGGACTTATTAACGAGAGAATTCCTAAAAGATTAATATTTGCTGTGCCGAATGGTAAGCGTCCGAGGGGTAGACCGAAGCGAAGGTGGGAAGATTGCATTAAAGCCGATCTGAAGGGACTGGGTTTGGATGGCGAACGATGGAGGGAGGTGTGCAATAAGCGATTGGTGGTGTCGGCATCGAACCTTCGGGTTCGCTAAGCCTTTTTATTATATTATTATTATTACTGTTTCAAGTAGACATTTACACAGCTGAACAGAAATAATATAGACTAGGTGATGAGGACAAAAAAAAAAAGTTTCCAATTTGAATTAAGGTTTTGTGTAGATTATAAGTACTCTTATCCATATGACTACAGATGAAAATGTCTGCAACTATAAATCAGTCCCAATAAAATTTCATAGATGATCAAAATTGTTATATTTTGTAAAACATTGACTGATTTGAAGATGGATAGAATGTTTTATAACCATTATATGGACCCAAACAAAGTCTGCCATCTGCAGAAGTGAGTCAAAAACCAACTTTTTTGCTTAAAAATTTAATTTATCTGAAGACGGAAGAAGCTTTTTCTAAATACACTTAGTTCATTCATGAACCAAAACAATAGCCTGCCAAACGGAATTGAGTTTTATTTTGACAGCAGATATAAGTCAAAAATTAATTTTTTCACTTCAAAATTTTACTTAAGATAAATGGTACTTTGACTAAATGAAACTATGTAGCTAATTGTAACTGTATATTATCTTATTGCTACGGTTTTCTTTTCACTATTGATTCCAACCATATTTACCAATAAAATTCTTGCCAACTATGCTTCCCAACAAAATTTTTGCCAACTATACTTCACAACAAAATTTTTAATTTCGTTCTTTTCAATTTGACATGTCATAAAAAGGTTTAATGGGCCTATGTCTGTTGATAAACCTAAGAACCAATATTAGGCACTAATTTTCTTCTTCTTCGTTCTTCCCTCTATATGGCTTTGTCAGGGAGTAAAAAAACAAAATTAGTGATTCTCCTTAGGTCCTCCAGACTTCCGAACAGCTTGGTCCTAACGTCCGTAGGTTGGGGCCATATCTGTCACTGTATACCCTCCAAATTCTGGCAGTTCTGCAGGTCATGTTCTGTGGTTTGTTCATTTTGGCCACATTCACATAGGAGACTGGGCTCTATCTTGAATTTTCTGAAGAGGTGTGATTTTAGGTGGTTACGTCCAGTGCTGAGGCGAAAAATGACAACTTGTTCCTTTCTGGTTAGCCTGAAATAATCATCATGGGAATTATGATTTGGGTGACTTGCTTTCCACCTCTGGCTTATGACTATTTTGTTAATAGTTTTGCACTCCTCCAATCTAGGGATGCTGCTAATTTGAGGGAGCAATGTTCTTTCTTTAGCTAATCAGTCTGCAATTTCATTTCCCACTATTCCACAGTGTCCTGGGATCCATTGTAGAACCACCTCTTGGTACTGCGCTTTTAGATCTTCTAATTTCTCAGCTAATGTACCTAGTGTACCCTTTCATTTATTTTTTAGGCATTCCAGAAAGGATGCTGCATCTGTTAGGAATACATGAGAGTGGGCATCTCTTAAGTCTATTTAGGATCCTAGCTTCAGTCAAAATGGAGTCATGCTCGGCTCTATAGTTTGTTGAGACGAATCCAGTGGGGAGAGCTTTTTAGAGAACATGTCCATTGGGGAATTCAATATGGATGCTCCCTCCTCTGTTTGCAATGGAATTTTTAGCAGACCCATCTGTGTATACCCTCATCCATTTATTTTTAGGTTCGGCCGAGTTAATATGCTCCAGAGTGCAGGTTTTGGCTTCCAGAGTATCTAGTTCACTTTTTTTTGTTATGCCTGGGACCTTTGCATTGATTTTCAGTCTGATTTATTATGTCCAAGATGGGTAGTCGTCCGCAAGCTTCAAGGTTTCTGCTTTAATATTACATTACATAGGGTGGTTTTCGATCAATTGATTTGTTTTATGCAGATACTTTCACGCTTTATCCGAGTGTGGTTTCTCTTTTCAACTGTCTCTTTATACGGCCTGCTTTCATTCTTAAATTAAGGAGTTTGATGTATCTCCTGTCTTCCATTTTTTGTAAATCAGTAAGCGATTCTATCGCCTTAATCAGTGTGGATTTTAGACCTCCAGTTACAATTCTAAGCCCTTGGTTCTGTGATTTTTTTAAAGTTTGAGGGTGCTGCCATTCCCCAACTTGTGATTCCATATTCTATCACAGGTCTTATGTATCCAGTGTATAGGGCTTTGAGAGTAATATGAAAATCGTGTAGTGCGTATTATTAGCATTTATTTTGAGGGCCCATTTTTCTGGCCATGAAAACAGTCTATTCAGTGCAGTTTAGATCCTATATTTGGCTTTTATTATTGAGGTTGATTTACAACAAATTGCTACATCGTCTGCATAAACCGATATCTTTAAATTTTTAGGCATTTCTTTTTTAATGTCATTTACATAGATCAAGAAGAGAGTTGGCGAGAGAACGCCACCTTGTGGGACTCCATTCTTTGTTGGGTGGATTCTACTTTTTGAACCCATGAAGTGAACTCTAGCTCTCTGTCGCTGATACATTTTGAGCCAGATCAATGCCTATTCTATAATACCCATATTTGCAGCTTTTAAGAGTAGACCTTCTGTCCATACCTTGTCAAATGCCTTCTCCAGGTCCACCCAGACAGCCATACAGCCAGAGTGTGCTCCTATTCTTGAAATCCTTCTTCAATTTCCTGTGCTATATGGGCAACTTGGTTTTCCATGGATCTGAATTTTTGGAACCCTCCTTGCTCAGGTATGAGAAGACTTTTTTTCCCAATAGCCATATGATCCGGTTATTTACAAGTCGCTCAAGAAATTTGCATAAGCAAATTTGGAGCTTAATGGGCCTAAAGCTATTCAGGTCATTCTGTGGTTTTCCTGGTTTTGGAAATGGAATCACTGTCCCTTCTTTCCAAGTATTGGGTACTATGCCTTCCTTCCAGCTAGTATTAAAAAGTTTCAGCAAGTGTTTCTTAGCTTTAGCTCCAACGTTTATTATGAGTTCATTCATAATGCCATCAGGGCCAGGGGAGCTTTTCTATTTCAGTGTTTTAATTGCATTTGTAAGCTCAGTTTCACTGAAAGGTGCATCCAGTACACTTCCTGTTTGTTTAGAATTCTCCATGTGCTTATTAAGTTGTCTCCCTTGCTGGATGGATCTGCAAGTTTCCAATTTCACTCAAGTGCTTCACAAGAAGGTCAGCAGCAGGTTTTCCAGAAAGCATCTGCCATTTTTTTCAATAGTGACTGGGTTGAGAGCAGAGTAATCTCCCCCAAGTGACTTTGCAAGTTTCCAAAGTTTATTTCCACTTCTATCTATGTTAAGGTCTTCAGTCTTCTTAGCCCAAGTGTTTATCTTTGGAGTCTGAATCTCATGCTTTAACATTGCTGAAGCTATTTTAGGTTAGCTTCAACACTGGGGTTTTGTTCAGCTTCGTTTCTGCACCTCGTTAAGTCATTTTCAAGATTTCCTATCTCATCCGTCCAGTAAGGTTTGTAATCCTTTCGAGCTCCCCTAGGGATTCTTCCAATCACTGCTTTTGTTGTGACTGCAGTAAATTTCATTGTAGAAAAAGTAATCTTCTTATATGTAACATTTACAGAAGTGGTTTACTTGTCTGTCAGTGTTCTATATTGCTCCCACT